AAAAAAAAAAAAAAAAAAGAATAAACTAGTGAGACTACATCAAACCAAAAAGCTTCTGCACAACAATGGAAGCCATCACTAAAATGAAAAGGCAACCTAATGAATGTAAGACAATATTTGCAAACCATATATCTGATAAGGGGTTAATGTCCAAAATATATAAAGAATTCATACAACTCAATAGCAAAAAAATAAACAATCTGATTAAAAAATGGGCAGAGAGGGGCTGCCCCAGTGGCGTACTGGTTAACTTTGCGCGCTCTGCTTTGGCGGCTCGGGGTTCACAAGTTCGGATCCTGGGTGTGGACCTGTGCACCACTTATCAGGCCATGCTGTGGCGGGCATCCCACATACAAAACAGAGGAAGATGGGCACAGATGTTAGCCCAGGGCCAATCTTCCTCAGCAAAAAGAGGAGGATAGGCAATGGACGTTAGCTCAGGGCTAATCTTCCTCACAGACAGAAAAAAAAATGGGCAGAGGATCTAAATAGACATTTTTCCAAAGAAGACACACAGATGGCCAACAGGTACATGAAAAGGTGCTCAATATCACTAATCATCAGGGAAATGCAAACATAAACCACAATGAGGTATCGCTTCACACCTGTTAGAATGGCTGTTATTGAAAAGACGAGATAACAAATGTTGGCAAGGATGTGGAGAAAAGGGAACCCTTAGGAACTGTTGGTGAGAATGTAATTGGCGCAGCCACTATGGAAAACAGTGTAGAGGTTCCTCAAAAAATTAAAAATAGAACTACCAGCAATTCCACTGCTGGGTATTTATCCAAAGAAAATGAAAACACTAATTCTAAAAGATATATACACCCCTATGTTCGTGGCAGCATTATTTACAATAGCCAAGACATGGAAACAACCTAAATGTCCATCGATGGATGAATGGATAAAGAAAATGTGGTATACATACACAATAGAATATTACACAGCTATAAAAAAAAGAATGAAACCTTGCCATTTGTGACAACATGGATGGACCCTGAGGGCATTATGCTAAGTGAAATAAGTGAGATAGAAAAAGATAAATACCATATGATCTCACTTACATGTGGAATCTATTAAAAAAATAACAGCAACAGCAAAGCAAGCTTATGGATATAGAGAACGGATTGGTGGTTGCCTGAGGTGAGGAGTGGCTGATGGGCAAAATGGGTGAAGGGGGGGTCAAAAGGTACAAATTTCCAGTTATAAAATGAATAACTCATGGGGATGTAATGTACAGCATGGTGACTATAGTTAATAATACTATACTGTATGTTGGAAAGTAGCTAGGAGAGTGGATCTTGAAAGTTCTCACCACAAAGAAAAAAATGTAACTATGTATAGTGACAGATGTTAACTGTACTATTGTGATCATTTTGTGAAATATACAAATATCGAATCATTATGTTGTATACCTGAAAATAATATAATGTTATATGTCAATTATACCTCAATAAAAAAAATAAAACGTAAAAGTAAGGGCTTATAAGATAGAGCTGGTTTGAATCCCAGTGCTGACTGTGTGCCCTTGGGCAAATTACCTAATATATCTGAGCCTCACCTGGGTTCTCTGTAAAAAGAATATAATAATAGTTCCAATCTCACAGGGGTCCTGGGGAAACAAGATGAGATAATGCATGTAAAGCATTTACCATACTGTGTAACACGTGGTAAGCACTAAATAAATAGTAGCTGCTATCATTATTTTTGCAATTATTATTATTATTAATTAATTTGGTAAGATTTCAGCAATACCTTATATTTGGTAGGTGCTTAAAATTTAAAACAAAATACTTTCAAAATCACATTTTACTCCTACTCTGATGGCTATACTGTATGTAGGACAAGTATTAGCTCCATTTTACAGTTGAGAAAACAGGCTTAGAGAGAAAAAATGTATCTTATGAGCTATGGTACTGTAAACTAGTTTTCCCAGGTTCATATCTCCCCTAGATGACTTTATAACTGTTAGGCAGAAAATTATTATCATCAGAATTTATAGGAAACATTGTACATAGAATTAATTGTGTAACATACTTTTTGCAGATATTGAAAATGAGCCAAGAAAAAATTGAAATATTTGAAAGTGAGTTGTCAGAAGAGGGAGAAAGGAGAAAGCAATTGACGTCTGATTTTAATACTGTACACAAGGCTTTGAAAGTTGACAGTGAGGTATTTTGCCATTTAGGATGTTGTTTTCCTCTTTTTGCATTCCCAATTTAGGGATTTCATGTTATCATTTATTTTTATTTTAACATAAATTGTAGCTATAGAATATGTGTTTCGGTTAGTAGTAATGGGGTGACTGTTGTTTCCCTGGGCTGAGCTCCAGCACTAGCCAAAAAGAGTCCTTTAAGTAGCAGGTGTTTGATTGTTCTGGTGGTAGTGGAGTCATAGACTTGTCTCTGCTTTTAACTGCTTGTCCTACCATCTTGGAAAGGTCTATCAGGAGACATAAACAGCCTATATTTGGAAGGGAGACCTGGAAGTGAGTTCATGGAAGTCTAGATCCACCAGTTTAGAGGACTTAGTCAGTTTGCAGGATAGGTGAAAGCCAGTGCAATGCCCCAAATCCCATCCTGATGCCCTACAGGAATTTTCCATGAAATGAGATAGGAAATTGATACCACCTGCCCTCTTGCTGTGGTTCTGGGTGGCCATTCCCTACCTTCTCTCCTTTTTGCCCAATGCCTTCCTCATCAACATTCTCCTCCCTCTCTGATCTCAAGGCTTTGGGAATACACCAAGTAGCTCCTCTCCTAATGTAAATTTTATATCAGCGGTTCCCTTCATAGGGCACCACAGATTGACCCTCAAGCGCCAGTGATCCACCAGTCAGACACTGCGTATTCCATGTCAGCAATGTAGAAATTTGATAAAAATCTATGTCTAACTAAATTGTTTTCTCCCATGGATATGAAAAAAACATCAGGATTAGGGGAAACCCTAGTTGACGAAGTCACTGAATATACATTGTCAGGCAGTATAATATGTGATTAAGAACACAAAGTCTGAAGTCAGATGGTTGAATCCCAGCTTCACTTCCTGGCTGTGTGAATGTAGGCAGATCACTTAAGTTCTCTGAACCTCAGTTTCCATAAATCTACCTCATGAAGTTGTCACAAGATTAAAGGTAAACCATGTAACATTATTCTATAAAATGTAACTTTTAAAAAAGATACCTTTTAAAACAGGTAATATAACTAATGCAGGAGTTACTGAAGAATTGACCTCTATACAAGCCTTGTGTAAAGTAGGAATGACTCTAGAAACCCCGTCTTTCAAGCTGTAAATGATAGAAACTAAGAATGCTCAGTTTAATTAATTGATTTAAGTAACCTTTGTTTTAACTACAAAGAAAAGAGTCTGTCAGCCAGAAGAATAGGTTGAAATATTTCAAACAAAAAAATTGTCAGAATCATTTCAAAGATTCCTTTTTAGAAATATTATACCTTCTATGGGGAAAGTCTTAATTTATTCTACTAAATATCTTCATTTCTTAATCAGGAATTGCAAAAATCAAAGTCAGAACTTACATGCCTGTATAATGAAATTCAGAGTCTTCCAGGGGCAGCAGAAGACAGAGACCGTTTTTTAATAGCATATGACCTGCTACAAAGAGAGAATTCTGAATTAAAAACAAAGGTGAGACTGAATTGTTAAGTATTTAAATGTTCAATGTATGGCATATCTTTTATGAAGATAAGATAAAAGGAAATTAATTATCAGCAAGAGATGACTTGGAAATTGAAGTTTCTTTTATTATTAGAGAATAGATTGCCATGTACTGTGGGTTATAAGTCAAGCTATATTTCAGGATAAATATTCAGACTTCAGCTAGTACTTCATTTTTAGGATTAATCTATGAATTTTTTGTTTTAAATCAACTTCCCAATGGCTTAGTTTTTGGAGTATATATTATAAAGTAAAAGGTTTACTTAAAATCACCATATGATCCACAATTCCACTTCTGGGTATATATCCAAAAGAATTGAAAGCAGGGTTTTGAAGAGGTATTTGTACTCCTGTGTTCATAGCAGCATTATTCACAATAGCTAAAATGTGGAAGCAACCCAAGTATCCATTGATGGATGAATGGATAAGCAAATCATGATATATACATACAATGGAATATTATTCAGCCTTAAAAAGGAAAGGAAATTCTGCAATATGCTACAACATGGATGAACCTTAAGGACATTATGCTAAATGAAATAAGGCAATCACAAAAAGACAAATACTGTATGATTCCACTTATATGAGGTACTTAGAGTAGTCAAATTCATAAAGACAGAAAATATAGTGGTAGTTGTCCGGGAGAGGGAGAGGGAAGAATAGGGAGTGATTGTTTAGTAGGTATAGAGTTTGTTTACAAGATGAAAAGAGTTATGGGGATGGATGATGGTTGCACAACAATGTGAATATATTTAATACTACTGAACTGTGCACTTTATAATGGTTAAGATGGCAAATTTTATGTTATGTGTATTTTACCACAATAAAATGCAAAAACAAACCAAAAAGTTTACTTAAATGTTTTCAACTTTTAAACTTAGATTCAAAGCTTCTTTCTCAGTTATGCTGAAAATTAGGCTCATTCTTAGAATTAGGAAAATGTGTGAATGTCCTGACCCAATTGGTTCCCCAGGTATAAAAATGGCTGGCAGACCAGAGTTAATCCCACACTAGGTAGAGAGGTTGCGTATGGTGTAATTTCTAGAGTCCCACCTATTAGGTTATCACCAACCTCTAGCCAAAAATTCCCTTCCTCAGTCACTCTCTTGATCTTGATTAAAATGGTGGGAAAGAATGAAGACTTGAACACAGCAGTTAAAATATATTGGGTTCTATTTTAACACCTCACGTTAAGTGCAGGACTACACCAAGGCCTCATTTACCCTCCATGACGTTGCTCCCCTGAAGCAGGGAGCAAGCTGCTGAGGGACTGAGACATAGATGAAATAGTTGTGCCCTAGGGAGGGAAAGGTCCAGGACACCGAGTTTGCTGCCCGGGAGGGTGGATATGTAGAGCACAGCCTACATCTAAGCTTTGTTTGTGGGACCTTGTCAGCAAGGTGAGTTATCATCACACTGTACAACTAAAGGATCTTGTCTTTTGAAATGTCATGGGAAAATTTAATACAGAGGATGAACTGAGGCAAGACGAATATATAAAAGCAAGAGATTCAGATCACTATCCTGGTAATCTGGCTTTCTCTCTCTCTCTTTTAAAAAACTTTTTATTTTGAAATAATTTCAAACTTAAAGAAAAGTTGCAAAAATAGTACCAAGAATTCCCATATGCCTTCACTCCTCCAAATGTTAACATAGTATCATGTTTGCTTTATTATTCTCTCTCTCTGCATGTGTGCGCACGCACACGCACACAGACACTTTCATTTCTGAACCCTTTGCGAGCAAGTTGGAGAGAGAATACTCTTTTACTACTAAATATTTCCATGTATGCTTGCTAAATTGATGTCTCTTTATCACAGTACGAGTCTCAAAATCAAGAAATTAACATTAATATACTACTATTATCTATAGCTTAAATTCAAGTTTCACCAATTGTTCCTCCCCATAGCAAAAGAAGAACAATTTTTTTCTAGTCCAGGATCCAATTCAGAATCATACATTGCGTTTAATTGTCTCTGTGTAGCGCCTTTAATCTGCAGCAGTTCCTCAGTCTTTCTTTTGTTCATGGGTTTGATATTTTTGAAGAGTATAGATCATTTATTTTGAAGAATGCCCCTCAATTTGGATTTGTCTGATGTTTCCTCACAATATAATTCAGTTACATATTTTTGGCAGGAATACTACAGAAGTAATGTTGTATCCTTCTCAGTGCATTATATCAGGAGACACGTGGTATCTTTTTGTTCTATTACTAGTGATGTTAACTGATCATTTGGTTAAGGTACTATCTGCCAGATTTCTCCACTGTAAAGTTATTATTGTTCCCTTTGCAATTGATAAATATCTTGTGGGGAGATACTTTGAAACTATATGTATTCTGTTTCCTATCAAACTTTTACTGATTAATAAGTTTCTGTTTTGAATCTTTGATTCTTCAATTATATTCCAGTTTCTCTTCAGAACATAGAGTGCTTTAGACTTAAACGTAGTCTTGCTAAGAGTGGCTAAAAAATTGAATCTTATGTATTTACTAAAGCCCCTGTTTTTTAGGCTGTCGTTTTGTCTGGGTCACAATACCTAGATGCATAGTAATGGAATTTTAGAGCTGGAAGGGGTATGATCACGTAGGCCAGCTCCCTCAATTTACAGATAAGAACACCAGGCTCAGGGATATTAAAGAACTGCCAAGTTGCCTGGTGATTCTCACCTAAACTCTGTCCTCCTACCCTAGGGCCTCAAGTGGAAAGTGAAGCAATCAATTTCGTACTTGATGGTACTTAAGCATGGCTGATTATCAGCTTGAGCTGTGTCCCTAAGATAAAATTTTTGTAGGGAAGAGTCTGTGGAACAGAGTTGGTCCTGTTCCACAGCATCTGTGTCATAAAGGCCCTGTGGATTTAACTTTCTTCGTGATGAAGAGCAAAGCTGCCTGCTTAGGATGTATACCAACTTTGTCATGTGAGAAGCCAGAATACCTAGAAGACACTCGGTATTAACATCACCATCCTCTTCAGAAACCCTCAGCAGTTCTCCATTTGCTGTAACATAAGTCTAAGTTATGTTTGGCTTTCTTTCTTTTTTTTTTTTGAGGAAGATCAGCCCTGAGCTAACATCTGCCAATCCTCCTCTTTTTTTTTTGCTGAGGAAGACTGGCCCTGGGCTAACATCCATGCCCATCTTCCTCCACTTTATATGGGACGCCGCCACAGCATGGCTTGCCAAGCGGTGTGTTGGTGTGCACCCGGGATCCGAACCGGTGAACCTCGGGCCGCTGCAGCGGAGCACACGCACTTAACCACTTGCGCCACCGGGCCAGCCCCTCTTTACTTCTTAAGAAACTAACATTTATTATCTGTAACGTTTAAATTTTTACAGTGACCATAAAAATCAGCGATTAAGTAGCATTTTGGAATCTGTTTTCCTGCTTCCACAAGTAATGCAAGCTCATTAAGAAAATTCTTGTCTTTCAAGTCCCTTCATAATCTGACCCCTCCCCTCAATCTTGCCTTATTTCCTCAGCTCCTCATCTTGTAGCCTCTACTCCAGAAAGACCATCCTCCTCACTTCTGCACAAATACCGTGTGCAGGTCCATATTTGTGCCTTTGACAGTATTGCTCGTGCTTAAAATGTGCTATAATCTCTTCTTCACCTGTCCATATCTTCTCATTCCCTAAGGCCCTTCTCATTCCCTAATTCCCCAAGACTAACCTGCTTTGGAGAGGTTATAGTGTGTAAAAGATTAAATGGATTTATGAGATTATAATCCATATCACATACTGTAGTTTTTCTTCAGAGCATTGAAAAGGCCTAGGAAACCAAACAAAGGGATCTCTTGAAGTTGGTCTCTTAAATTGTTAATTTAAAGAGATCTTAAATCTCTTAAATTGATCTTTAGAATTAAAGCCATTGTGTTCTTAGAATCAAACATAGTAAGTAAAGAAACTTTGCATTTTTAGGCAAGCTCAGAAGGGGAGTCAGACAGGTTGTTGTCTATCTTAGTGCAATACTTTGATGGATATCCATCTTCCATTCTTAGAAGTATCCCCCACCCACCCTTTATTCTGCCTTCTGGAGGTGTTTTTTCATTTTATGTGACGATATAAAGAGCAACCTTTGAGGAAAGGAATCTATTTGTCAAAAAAAAAAAAACCCTAAACAGGGCTGGCCCCGTGGCTTAGCGGTTAAGTGCGCGCGCTCTGTTGCTGGCGGCCTGGGTTCGGATCCCTGGTGCGCACCGATGCACCACTTCTCCGGCCATGCTGAGGCTGCGTCCCACATACAGCAACTAGAAGGATGTGCAGCTATGACATACAACTATCTACTGGGGCTTTGGGGGGAAAATAAATAAATAAATAAACCCTAAACAAATGTTTTACGAAGTCACACAACAGAGCAGTGACTCTCAAAACGTCTTCTTGCATCAGAATGACCTGGGAGACTTACTTAAAGTGAAAATCCCCAGCCCCAGCCCGGACCACTGATTCTGAACCTCAGGGGTGAGGTGGTGATGTGAGACTGCATTTTTAAACTCCTCCGTTGATGCTCTCACACGCTAAAGTTTGAGAATCACTGTGATAGTCTGGGAGCCTTTACATGTGCCAGAGTCTCCAAACAAATAGAATCAGACTGGAAGAAATTTGTCCTCTGTAATGTATATCTATTATTCTGTCTAGTGCTTTCCTGCAGCAATATGTTGCTTTTATGAATCAATGAAGTACACTCAAAACTTGAAAACAAAAATGTGTGATAATAGTGTGAAACTCTATAGATCTCATCTTTTGCTTGTTAAAGGTAGAACAAAACTCTGAACAGCGCTTTTAGAAGACAACCCCAGGGGCCAGCCCCGTGGCTTAGCGGTTAAGTTTGCGCGCTCCGCTGCTGGATGCCCGGGTTCGGATCCCGGGCACGCACCATTGCACCGCTTCTCCGGCCATGCTGAGGCCGCGTCCCACATACAGCAACTCGAAGGATGTGCAACTATGACATACAACTATCTACTGGGGCTTTGGGGGGAAAAAAGGAGGAGGATTGGCAATAGATGTTAGCTCAGAGCCGGTCTTCCTCAGCAAAAAGAGGAGGATTAGCATGGCTGTTAGCTCAGGGCTGATCTTCCTCACAAAAAAAAAAACCCCAGAGACCAAAAATACTCTTTTTTTTTTTTAAACCAGGAACTTACACACCCTTATGCCTATGGTAAAAATGGATTAAATTATGTAATAACTGCAAAGTATTAAATTAAATTGGAAACAGACTTTAATTTGATGTCAGTTTATATTATTTAAGCATTTAATAGAATCAATGCGCTTTCTTCATAGTCATACATAAGAGTACACAAAATGGAACATTTGTCTTTTCACTTAACTTTACAGGTCTTGAAGCTGTCACAAGAGTTCGAACAATTAAATCATTTTACTGTAGGGAGAAAGACTACAGTTGATAGTTTAATTACAAGTGAAAATATCTGTAAAGATCTGGTGTCTAAAGTACCAATTTTGGAAGTAGAGATTCAAAGCCCAAAGGAAGAGAGAGTGGAACTCTGGTAAATTGAGAAAATCCATATCACATTAATTATTTGGGGGGTACATTTTATTTGGCTTGATCATTACAAGTATTTGACATTCAGTTCCAAATGATGTGCATGGAAAAATTAGTTATAAGCATTCACCAAAGAGTTTGTTTTTTATATGTTATTACATTTTTAAACTTTTTCTCCTGCTTTTAAAGATAAATATATGCTTTTTATAGATAATTTGGAAAGCAGGGAAAAGTATAAGGAGATTATAATAACTCATAATTCCCACCAGGAAGAGATATTAACGTCCTAATTTTTCTTTCTTGTCTTTTGTCTGTACACATACATATATATGTATTTTTTTACGTAATTAAGCCTATACTCTGCAGAGAGTTTTATTTTTTGCTCTTTTTATTTAACATTGTATCTTGTAATTGTTTTTCTTTTTCTTTCTTTCTCTCTTTCCCTCCCTCCCTCCCTTTCGCCCTCTCTCTCTCCCTCCTCCCCCTCTTTCTTTTTCTCTCTCTTTCTTTCATCTTGCCCTTTAACTCTTGTATTTCTACTTTTTCACCAAAAATATCCTTCACAGAAACTTTTGAGGCTTGGGCAAATGTATGACTCTGTTTTGGCATAAAACCGAACAAATGCAATCAAATTTTGTCTGGGCAAAAGCCTAGAACTAGATCATTAAAAGGAAACAATAGATGTCAGTTTTGACTTATCTACCATACTAAAGGATACATCATCAATAAACTGGGAAAATACGGTCTGGGTGGAGCCACATTTATATCTTTGCAGATGTTCTAAGATAGAAGGATATTGTTTTGCCAGTTTGAGGCCCCTGAATTTTATGTCCACTTAAAAGTTGCTTTTAACTTTAGAGTGAGCTCTGAGTCCAAGATTCACAATCATGAAACCTAGTTGCAGAAGTGGAAAGAGCATATTGGAGAGATGGTGGGGAACAGGTGTGATAGTGGTCAGAAGACCAAAGAGCCAAGAAGCTAGGTCACAGCATCTAGGTTTGCTGGGAAAAAAGGAAGTCTAGTTCTTGGGCAGTGGAACAGTGTATTACAGGATTTTTGAGGGAGATTGTTCTAGTATCTCTATATTAGATGAATTGGAGAGGAAAGACAGACCAATTAATCCAGATATGAGCCACAGATGAAGAGACAGGGGCCTAGATTGACTAAATGGCAATGGAGATGAAATGGCCAATTTGAACGCTTTTCAGAGAAGGAGTTGACATTAATGATCAAAGCTGACAAAAATCTATCCAGCTGATTTGGGATTACTGGCAGGAATACTTGCCACAGGAAGCAAGGCTGTGGCCTTAATTCGTTTGGAGATGGGGAACCTTGCCCTGAAAAAGATACTGGGCTTCTCTATAAAGAGCTTCTTACTGTCACCTGACTCTGTGACTTGGTTCAAACTGCTTACCATTGCTGGGGCTGTGAGAAGTCCCCATGTCTACCTTATACTTCCCTTTCTTCTCTTCTCATTATGTTTCCCTGCTTGCTTCTCTCCTGTGCCCCACTTCACAGCCTCCACTTATCTCAGATCCATCACACAATCACATCCAACAATAATTTGCTTATCTACCATATGCCAGGTACTGTAGGCAGATACTGAGAATACAAAATAAGTCACAGTTCCTACCCTTATGGTCCATAAAGCCTAATGGGGGGAGATAGGCAGTTAAATGAGGGAATACTGGATACGCTAGGAGCACTAAGGAGGGGCCCTGGCCCAGGCTAATAAACCAGAAAATATTCTTAAAGGAAGTAACAAATTTAGCCCTGAAGTGTGAGTAATCAGGGGCCAAGAAAAAGATGGGAGAGTAATTTTTGGGAGGGATATGACATGTGCAAGAGAAAGCATGATTTGTTTGAGGAACTAAAAGTGACCTCAAGCCTGCTATATAGCACAGAAAGTGAAGAGAGGAAATGAGAAAGGAGATGATGAGAATGAAGAGGTAGTCAGGGACTCCATCATGAAGGAACATGCATGTCTGCATTAGGGAGTTTGGACAATAGGAAACTACTGCAGGGTGTAGCAACACAGAAGAGACAAAAACAGATTTGTGCTTTAGAAAAATCACTCTGGCTGCTGCATGGGAAATTGATTGTTGGTACAAGAACGAGGATAGCAAGATCAGTTAAGAGGCTGTTATTGTAATCTAGGTGAAAGATGATGGTGTTTGTGGGGATGCAGAAAAGTAGAAGGAATTGAGAGGAGGTAGAATCCACAGGACTTAGGGATTAATGAGTATAGGAAGCGAGGGAGAAGGTCTGGTAGCAGGGGCTTGAGTATAGGAACAGGTTAAGGAAGACTTGTAAGTTTCTGATTTGATGGTATCATTTGCTGAGTTAGGGAACATAGTTTTGAGGGAGGAGGGAATGGAGTTCAGCTTTTTACACATTGACTTATGTCTTTGGAACAGCCATGTGGTGATGTTCAATAAACAGGTAGATTTATGGGTTTGGAGCTCAGGAGAGAAACCTGGGCTGGAGATAAATTTGAGAATTATCAATAAGTAGATGGTAGCAAAAGTCATGTGATGGATGAGATGGTCCTGTATGTTGCTTAATAAAAGCACCTGAAGGCAGAAACCTAAGGAAAACCTCTGTATAAGAGACAAAAAGAGTACTCCCAAAGGTAGCTGAGACAAAACAGCCAGAGAAGTAGAGGAAATGTCAGGAAAGTATGTATCACAGAAGCCAGATTAGAGAGTATTTCAGGAAGAAAGGAGTAGTCAATAGTGTCATATACTATCAAGAAGTCAAATAAAATAAGGGAGAAAAAGTGACTACTGAATTTAGCAATAAGAAGGTGGTTGAGGACTTTAATAAGAGTAGTGCCAATGAAGGGCAGAAAACAGATTGCTTCCTAGATCCCATCCCATGGGATGGTGAATGGCAGTGAACTGAGGAAGGCATGGGGGATGAGGAAGGGAAAATGCTGAGTGTAGATAATGCTTACCCAAAATTTTGGTTATGAAGAGGAGAAGAGAATATGGAGCTGAGGTAAGAGGAAATTTGTTTACTGGTGGGAAAGAGTCCCAAAATGGACGGTTTAGGATTCAGAACACCAGAGGAGAGACTAGCCTTAGGAGGTAGGCTGCCTTGTCCATTGTAACAGGAGGAAGAAAGGGAAGATGGACAGAGGTCCAAGTGAGTTTTTAACTTGAGAGGAAATCAGAGGACTTGTTCAATGATTTCTGTGTGCTCTGTGAAGTAGGAAACAAAGTCATCTGCTGAAAGTGAGGGAGGAATAGAACTATCAGAGTTTATCAGAGAGTGAAAAAAGTTTGAAATAATCACTGTGGAGAATGGAAAAGAAAGCTGACTGGGGAGAGCAGGTATTGTTGAGGGCCCAGTTAAGACCAGAAACCCTGAATTTGTATGGCATTTATCTTTGGGAATATGTGATATGCTTTAGCAACGTTTAGTATAGACGTGAGAAGACAGTTGGATTTATCCAGAGTTGAGGTTTTGCCACATGAGTGCAATGGAAGGACAATGGGGCAAGAGAGTGGAACATTTTATTTAGACAGTGATTGAAATAATGAACTCTAGACTGTGCGTTGGATAAAGGAGCAAGTAAAGGGAGCTGATAGAAAAAGAGACAAGAAATTGAAGGTACTTATGATTGCACTGAGACCAAATTACATAAAAAGAAAAAGCTGGAATCCAGATATCTAATTTTAGTGTTTCAGAAGTGAATCAGTTACTGATGATACAACCCATAGTGATGTTATGCAAGTAGTTGGCAAAGTGGGAGAAATGAGAAGGTAGTTGGAGATCAGGAGACTGAGGAAGTGAGATGCCAATTGGTGGGTGATCTCTATGGACCTTGGATTCTTCCAGGATGATGGCAGGACTTGGGATGAAGAAGACATCGGAGAGCCATGAGCCAAAAATCTTCAATTGAAGAGAAGTAGACAGTGTTACAGCACACCTAACGTGGTCCTGTGCACATAGAAGCCGCTCACTAAGCCAAATTGATTGATTCTTGTAGTACATGTCTTCTACTAGATTTTAAGCTACTTTAAGATAATGGACTGTGTCTTGATTTTCTGTTGTTTATAGTGTTTTTGTTATAGAGTAATGGAATCTTAGAATAGGAGGGACCTGCAGGAGATCTTCTAACCTAGTGGTTTTCAAACTCTACCTTCCAAAACCTTCGGAGCTCTACAGAGGGAGCTCAGAAACTACCTTGGGAGATGAAGAGAGACTAATGAGTGAGACTGTGAGCCCTCTGCTCTCATTTCAGCCAGAGAAGATCCACTTTATCTGTTTCATATGTGGAGTTCTATGTAAGATTTTACATCAAGAAAGGGTCCACAGCTGAAATAAGTTTGAAAACCACTGATATTTAGCTAAGTCTCCTCTTTTCACAGAAGATGTCTCTGAGACCAAGAGAACTGAGATGGCTATTTCAGTCACAATCACATACTTAGCAAGTTATTAGCAGGACTGGGTGAGGTCCCAAGTCTAACTCTGAGTCAGAAGTTACCACTTTATTATCTGCCTTGGAGAGAACATAGTCACAATTATCCCAAGGCCAAGAAGGTGCTGGGACACTTGTGTTCTAGGTCAGTTGCTATGAAAATGAGCTTTATGGTGTTAAAAAATTTCTCAGGACTGGCTTAGTCTCTGTATATGCACAACATGGGGGTGGGATGGGAGGAAGAATGAAGTCCAGTCTGTATTGTTCTGGGCTATCTCCAGTGTCTAGAACAATGCCTGACACATAGTAGGTACTCAAAAAATATTTGAATGAATGGAATTTTTGCCCTACTCCCACTGTGTACTTGCAGCTGAACCCAAAGTTGAACTTCCAATAGCAGTCCCAAGCTTACAGAGCCCAGCTGATCTCAGCCTGGATTTGCTTTATTAGGAAGCTTGAGCCAAAACAGCTGGTAGCTTACCTTGACCTTAACGCCTAATGAGCTTTATTTTTTCTAACACGCTCTCATTCACCATCCCATTGCATCCTTACTACCTTTATCAAGAATTGTTTGATAA